TTTTCTGCTCCGCCTACTCGGCAATCTCGGACATGCCTTCAAAGGTAGTGTGTGCGCTAGGTATAAACTAACGCTTCCATTCTTGCATCATTAAAGGAAAGGTACTGTACCACACTGAGGTGTAGCTCTATTACCACCAAAAAATTTAGCTCGAACGTTGTGGTTCGTCCTGCACGCCCACTGCTCTCGAATAAATACGCAAGGAAAGGAATAGAAATAATGGTAGGGATTGACAAAAAGTCCGGGGAAAGTATAACTAGACCAAGACAACAGAATTGAGGTACCTCAGTATAATCTTTTACGAAAAACGACGTCACTCCCTCTGCTTCAGCAAAAGATTTCGGGAATAGCCGAATCCATGTATCGTCGCCAAAGAACATTATCCTAAACCATATGAAACTTGAATTTCAATGGAGTTTCTCGAAATCACTCAGATGAAGTCGAAAGTAGAGAAGCTGAGATGTTTCAAAATTCTAAATTGCTACTGGAAATCAGCGGCCAGCATACTGATCAGAGGCACCGCTTTTCAGTGGCACGACCAGTAGGATCTAAGCCCTGTCGCTTCCTCTGCCTACCTGGCGGTCCTTCTTCATTCCAGCACTTCTGATCGGCTGATTGATACGAAACTCTTTGAGATCTTACCATTAGGGTAGAGGTGGTCGGGGTAGGGCACATGTGTGTTTTGTAAAACGTAGCGGGGGTTGAATACACCGCTGGAGAGGTGAATTGTATATTGCAGTAGATTCTCCTGATACTTGGTTTTTCTCGTCTTGCGCACTCTATTTACTGCATTGTTGGGAGAACTCCAGAGAACTCCATGGAGGGGGGGGGGTCGCATCTGGTTGATGGGGTTGTACTTTGCAAAAATCCTATGCAACGTGATGGTGTGCCCTTAAAGGCAGTTGGCACGATAAATCCCCCAAGACGAGTAGGATTAATACGCCTGGCAGGACGGAATTCCGCGACCCTGAGCAGGCGCTGCATAATGCCTTTTCCAAGGGAGGTGCCCTTATAAGGGCCCTATCAAGCCACAACATACCGACCCAAACGCCCGCCACGCCCGCCCGCCCACAAATGGACGACCGTTCCTGACCTCTTACTAATCGATTCATTTGCCTGAGCAATATTCATGATGCGAAGACTGGTATTGAAGCGGGCGTGATGCTCATGAGGATATATGATGTACCCATATCAGCATTACCTTCGGACCTTATTGGCAAGATGCCCTACAGGAAACTCGTCCAAATTGATTTCTAAACAACATAGGAGTACGGAGGTCCTTGGAGAGATTTTACCGTCGTTACTCCGTTTTTTCGCCATTTCACCAACTAAGTGCCCCTACCGGCATTTATAGCCGAAGCACCAAATCATCGTGCCAACTGCCTTTAAATGAGGGTCCAGGCGACAGCGCGAATATGTCACGTCCTGTCAATTTTGCTTGCCTTGTTACGTCTTCCTGAGGCACTGGAAAAAGTGCATCGTTTCACTGTTCAGCCACGCGGCACATGTAAGCAACTATAGCAACCTGCTCTGCCTGCGCCCTGCCCCTCCCTAAGTCCATTGCCACCAGATTTTTGCAAACCAACATTATTCTCCATAGCAAGGTCCTATCTATTTATGATCCACCTTGAAAGGCAAACAGTGAAGGACAAAAGTGAAGAGTAAGAAACCACCCACCTTTGTCCGGCAGATGCAGCATAGGTCACCCAGCTGTCTTCTATGTTCTCCGAAGCGAAGAAGTTTCCGAAGATAGATACAAGGGACGGTACCACACCGCTTGTTAGTGCCTTGAAAACACGAGAAAACTCTTAACTTGTTCAAATATACATCTAAAATATTGCTGTGATGTATGTCACCGGCGATGTTCCTGGCAGAAGGCCGCAATAGATTGCCGCTGCTGGGATGCAACTTATCGTGTTAGAAAAGAGCGTGCGGCGTGATGTCCGGTGAAGGAAATGCAAATCCAGAGGATAAGAAGAACGAGAACATCCATCAAAGACGGTGGGGAATGTGCACCGTTGGTGACAGTGCCTCGTAGGTGCCGCTCCAGATTAGTGGACATAGCTAGGACACGACATCCTTGGCATGCCCCCCCCCTTCTTTCCTTTCTTCAGAGGCGGTGAAGAAGGGAGGAATAGAAAAATGCGCCCATGACGTCATTTCTTGGTTCTCCCTTCCCTTTAACTCCGAACGGTAATGAAATGGTGCAGACCTTATGCATAGACACCTCAACGGCAACATGGTGCTCTCAAAGCCAGTGGGCACAATTGCTGGAGGCGGGCGGTTGTTGCCAGCGTCATTGGTGGAAGGACTACGAGAGGGCGTTTGTTTACACCCCACTTAGTCCTTCCACCAGTGACATTGAGAACCACTGCCCGCCCCAGTCATCGTGAACGCTGCTTTTAATAATTTTACCAACCGAGAGAAGTAAGTAGAAAATCTCCAAAGCAGCATAGCCTACCTTTATACGAGGCATGGTGACTGTAGGCGTTTGAGCGTTCGCTGTGAAAGCAACTGCTCGACCTGAGGCGATGGACTGACGAAAGAACGACATTGGAGGAGTCGTGATCAGAAAGAAACGACATTCGCCAAGCATCTATTACCATGAAGACGACACGAAGATCGCTATCGACGAGATGATCCGACTTGTCGTCGTTGAAGCATTCTGAAAGCAACATGAACGTGGAGCTGCAGAGTGATGGGCCAGTACATCTGAAAGGCGAGATAACAGTATAATTAGCTTTAAAAATGAAGACGAATTCCGCACTAATCGTGTGGGCGGGGTCGCGCGGCGCTTCCCTTACTGATGCGCCCTTTCTTCTTGCCATCTAAGAACAGTCTCATCAGCGACAAGTAGCATCTGTCCCGATTGTTCCGCCCATACGATTGGCGCGAAATGTACCTTTGAGGAATAGAAGGCGTAATCAACGCCCCAAAACGCAATCAATAATAAAGTAAAAAAGAAATCTTGGCGGAGTTTGACTTGGTGGGGGCACCGAATGATACACGGCTGAGCTTATCAAGCCACCTTGTGAAGACAGTCGCCAAAGTGGCTCACTCGCACCATCGCAGCCCCGCAGAAGTTTGCAGATCACACCAAAGTGAAACCTGTTATTTGGCATCATCTAAGAAAAGAAGCTAGCAAAAGCGCAATATGCCCCCACCAAGCCGAACAGCGCCAAAATCTCCACTCACTCTCAAATTCTTGACTCGATATTGTCACCGATTGTGATCTAGTATGTGATTTGAGAGAATATCCATAAATGATGAACAATACCGACAACAGTAAACTGAGGAATCCAACCTGAAAAAAGATAAAAGCCGCTAATGAATGGAACAACAGTCAACGGCATGCTTGAACCGGGTTGAGTTTAACTTACGGAAAATTCGATTGACGAAATGCCTCTTCTTCTGGTGTCGCTGATCAACATCGCAGATGTGACGCG